AGGGGAAAGGAAAGAAGGGAATGGGATTAATATGAGAAAATGGAAAAATGGAAACAAAGTCTTCGTAAATAGGGAGGGATGGAGGGGTTGAAGGGAGGGGAGGGGAAGGGGGAAAAATAAGAACCAAGAGAGGTTATGTAAAGGTGCAAATTTCCAACGATGAATGCCATTATATTGTATACCTACAATGTACCAATAAAATGAAGAATAAGGAAATAATTTTTAAAAATTTATTTTTAAAATTTTGGGACCATCCCACTAAGTTGCCCAGGCTGACCTTGAACTTGGGTCCTTCTGCCTCAGCCTACTGGGTGGCTGGGTTTACAGGAGTTTAAACTGAGCTCTCCGCTGCCTCCATTGCTACCAGAGAAGGGTGAAAGAACCAGGCCAACTAGTCTGCTTGTTTATTTGTTTTCTTGAGGCTGGAGATTGAAGCCAGGGCCCCGTGCTAAGCAGGTGATCCACCCCCGAGGAGTCTGGCTCCATTCAGCCACTGTTGCTATGACTGGGCTGGAGTTCGCTCCCTGCTGGGCTCTGCACTTGCAGAGTCAGCACGAATTGGTAGCTCCACTTCTCTCTGTGGCACTCAGTTTCCCTGCTGCTGGGTGCAGTGGGTGCTGAACTCCAGGCTGGGCTTCTCTGACCCAGGCATGGAAAGAGAACAGAATGATGGATAGAATGGGGCTGGAGCCTGACTTCCAATGCCTTGCTGAGGAATTTCAACCAGGTGGTGAGGAGACTCGCTGCACACTGCCTCATTAAATCCCATTGGTGCCATGTGGTAGGGGAGGCTCAGCTCACTGCTGGGCCCCACTGACACTACCCTTAGGGGAACCATTGTACTACCTGCTTCTGCCAGGCAGAGAATGGAATATGAGCTCCCTGCATAGACTCAGTAATGTCACCTGTCAGGGGAACAGGGTGTTTGCCCTAGACGGCTCCACAGAAGCTGCCAGGGCAGGTTGTATGTTTTTTCCATTGGTATTTGACTGGAGTGGGGTGAGTGTTGCCAAGGTTTTCTGTTTTTAAGCCATCTTTTTCCTGGTCTTTAGGATTTGTCTGTGCATGATAATGGTTCTGAGCTGCAAGCCTGTACAGGAACTTGTTCAAGATATGTGGGAGGCAAGGAGGAAAACGAGGGGACTCGCCAGGGCGTCGTTTCTCAAGTCCAGGGGCCATCAGGCAGCCATTGTCTCCTTTCTTTGTTGTATTGTGTCCAGACTTTTTAGTTGTAAGAGGAGGACCAGGGAGAATATGACAACTCCATCTGGGTGAAACTGGGAAACAGCAGAGCTACTTTGCAGTGAAGCAGTCTGAGTGCAAACAAGGCTCAGACGTCCTTCTCAAAAGCAACTTCTTAACCCTTGGTAAAATAATCTGCAGGGAATACAAGCATCACCTGAGCATGATCTGAAAATCATAAGCACTCAGCTCTACCGATGAATCTCAGCAGTATCTGTGAAAACAAACGTGGAGCATATGTTACTCTAACAAAGAACCCTCTTATTTTTGATTTAGAACAAACAGGAATCCATGTGTCACTTGGGCAAACTAGATCCAAGTCACCCAATGTTCTCAAGAATTCCTACTGGAAGTCAAAGCCGGGTAAAGCAAAACCAAGGAGTATTTGTACAAACAAGTCCTAATTAGGATCAGTCTAAGCTGTTTTTGCTATTTGAACCTGGACCTTGGGCATTATCTTGGTCTTTATGGACCTCAAACCTGGACATTTCCTTTGTTATGGACTTACATGATGGATTAGTGGCTCTAAATGTGGAGCTGGGTCTTAGACCTAGATTTCTGAGGTGGACCTTGATCTGCACTTGGATATGGGCTTTGGCCCTGTATCTTAAACTTGGACATTGAATTTGGACTGCATCTTGGACTCCAACCTTTAAATGAAGTTGTATCTCAGACATGGATGGACATGGGTCTCAGGCAGGGCCTGAACTTAGACATGACTATGGATGTGGCTGTTAGACTGGGACTTTAGATCTGAACATCAACCTTGGAGTTTCACTTTGGACTTTGCTCCTGGACTTTGGTAATTGCAGTGGTTTAAATGGGAACTGTACCACAAAGACAAATCCATTGAAGGCTCTATCTCTAAGGCACCAGTGTTTGGAGGTGGGGTCTAGAGAAGCAGTGGGTCACGAGGCCCTGACCTCATCCGTGGACTCACCCATTAGTGGCCCATAGCTGAATCGGCCATTTGGAGCTGGGACCTGAAGTGGGTTCCTGAGTCTCTGCTCTTGAAGGGTGTATTTTGCCCCCAGCCTCCTCCTCACCGGCTCTTTTCTTCTCTCACTTCCTTGTTGCCATGAGGTGAGCAGCTTTCCTCTGCTATACCCTTCCACTGTAATGTTCTTACTCATGAAACTTGGCAATGAAACCAGCCAAATATGGACTAAAATCTCTGAAACTCGGAGCCAAAACAAACTCCTTAAAGTTGATTTATGTCAGGGATTTTTGTCACAAAAATGGAAAACTGCCTAACATAGCAATGGAATTCTGGTTTTATTCCTGGATCACAGCCTTGGACATGTTCCTTAGGCCTTGAACTTGGGCCTGAACCTCAAACACAAACATCACTTTGGAGTCAGTCCTGGGACTGTGAACAGGACCAGGACCGTGATCCTTTGACTTGGATCTCTAGACATGAATGTAGACTATGAGCATGAATGTGGATGTTGAGCCTAGACTTAGAAATCTGTGCTGGGCCCTGAATGTGAATCGGTAACATCAGTCCTCTACAGGGAACTTGGATTTGGATCTAGGCCTGGGACCTGGAACTGGACTGGGATCATGGAAATCAACCTTGAATCTTGGACCTGAACTTCAGTCCTGGACATTGAAACTGACTTTGAAAATAGACTTGGAATCTAAACTATGGACTTCAACCTCGGACCTTTGAACTTTATTTAATTGACCTGAAAATTAGACTGAAACCTGGGTCTTGGGCCTTGATTATGTGCCCGGATTATGTATCTATATAATGGACTCTAATTTAGACATAGAATTTGGACCTGTGTGTGAATTTGGACCCCATATTGGGAGCTGAACCATGGACCTGTGGATTGTCCTTACATTTGTGCCTGGACCGGAGACTGTTGGATCTGTAAGGTCAAATTTGGACCTTGGACCTAAACCCAGCCCTGGACATTAGAATAAGACCTTGACCAGAAATTGGACACGACTCTGGATGTGGCTGTTAGAACTTTGCTTCTGATCTTGAATGTGGAATTCACACATTACCTAGACCTTCTCCCATGACCTTGTACCTGGTCTGTGGATCTGGATCTCAGACCTTGACTTGCAGTTGAAACTGGACTTTAACCTTGGTCTGAATGCTTGGCCTGGATTTGGACTCTGATAGGAATCTGAATCTAACCTGGGACTTGGATTTGTCTCAATCTTGAACCTAGGCTTTGGACCTGGACTTTGGAATTGGCCTCAGACTTTGAAATATAAACTGGGCCTTAGATTTTTGCTCCATCTGGACTTGGGCCTTGACCTTAGATATAGATCTTTCCAGAACTTTGGACTTGAACTTAGATTTAGTTCTTGGTCAGGACCTAAACTTTGACTTAAAAACCATATTATGAGGTCAGATGTTTCCTCACTGTTGAACTTGGCTTTTGCACACAGATGTTTTCTGGACTTTGGTCTGGAGCAGCACTTGGACCTTGGACCTATACCCTGGTCCTTGGACCTTGGCTTTAAATTATGACTTTTAACCATGGTCATGCACCTCAGATCCAGATCTAACCTTGACTTTGACTGGAGAACTGCTGATATAGCCTAATCATTGAGCCTAGGTCTTTCTACTTACTTGAATTGGATCTTTGATCTGGAACTTGGATTTTGATTGGCACCTTGAACTTGATCTTGGATCTGGAACTTTAACCTCATATGTTGACCTTTACCTCTGCCATGGAGCATGACATGACCTTGTATATGGATGTGAGATGTGAGCTACGGATCTTGACAGGGACATTGGACCTAGGTTTGTGCAGACCCTTGAATATGACCTTATGCTTGGAACTTGGTCTTAGTACTGGAGGTGGATCTTGGAACTTTGGCCCTATGTCTATCCCTTGACCTTGGACTCGGAGCATGGAAGTTTGTGTTGGACCTGGATAAGGACCCTTGACCTGAACCTTGGTCCTTAGATCAGGATCTTGGATCTTAAATTTTGCTTTGGCTTAGACATTGTGCCGGATCTTTGACATGGAAACTGGATAGATTTAGACCTTTTACTTTGACCTTGGTCCTGGACTTTGATGGTGGAACCAAAGTTTGAACTTTGATTCTAATTCTAAGCTTGTTTTCTTTGTTGTACAAGTAAAGCTGACTTCATTTAACTTGCAGCAAGAACATACTTTTGAGAATAATATATGAGACTGATCTTGTTTTTGCATTTGGAAAAATTGCTTGTCTTCTCAAACACTTACTGGATTCATCCTAGCTGACTCTAATGTGCAATAAGAATGTACTTTTGATAACAATGTGTGATAATGGACTCATACATGTTTCGTTTCACTTTAACTCACTCTAACTTGCAAGAGGAACATTTGAGAACTCCATTGATTCTTACATTGGTTTCACAAATGCTGCGAGGATTCATCAATATAATTGAGAAGAATAAGCATTTTTGCTTATATAATGCTTATAACTATCACGACTTATTCTACCAAGATATAGAGAGGTCCATATCCGAGGTCTAGGTTCTAGGTCTAAATTCCATTTCTAACGTCCTAAACTTATCCAGTACCCTATTCAGTGGTCCAAGTCCATATACAGTGTTCAAATCCAAGCTCCAGGTCTAAGGTCAGTCTAATATGAGCTCAAATCAAAGTTGCAAGATCCATATCCAAAACCCATTTCCAGGTCTGAGATCCAGGTCTAAGGTCTAGGTGCAATGTCTGGTCCAATGATAAAGTCTAGGTTCAAGCCTAACAGTCAGCCTCATGGTTCAATTTCAGAGTAGAATTTTATTCCTGAGGTCAGGACTGTGTGTAATTCAAAGCCAGATCCAAGTTCCAGGTACAAGATCTGTATACAAAGGTGGATCAAGGTTTAAGGTTCAACTTTCAAAGTCTAGGTCTATGGTTAGGCCTAATGGCTTGGTCAAATCCCAGTCTCAGGTAAAGACCCAAGGTCCAGAACCACATATGAGGTTTGGGTCAAAGTCTATGGCTTAAGTTTAAAGCACAAGTCCACAGTTTAGGTCTAATATAAGTTAGACTTTAGATCTTGGATAAAGCCAGATATAGTTTGAGGCCCAAGGTCCAGGTCAAGTTTCATGGTGGTTAGAGGTTTTATGTTTAGTTCTAAGGTCTCGGTTCAAAGTGAGTCCAGGTCAGTGTTGAAAGTCCAGGTGAGATGTCATGAGCAAATCTCTACATCAAAGGTCCCTAATCTTATCTTTGAAGTCCAGGTCCAAGATCTATGTCTCAGGTTCAGATTTGAGATTCAAAGTCTAGGACCATGTTTCTAGTCCTAATTTCATAAATGTATTTCAAAGCTTAGGTCTGGGTCCAGATTAGGTCAATCCAAGGTACAATTCAAATACAGTTTACAGATCAAGGAATAAGGTCAGGCCTAGATTCACATACAAATTCCATGTCCAAAGTCATGGTTCAATTTCCAGAAGAAATTAATTTAATGTTTTATCAATAACTGCATCCCCTCTAAAGTCCTAGATTTCTGGGTGATGGTAATGTTTGGTCTTATACTTACATCATTATTTTTGTCTCAATATTTTATAACCTAAGGCCTAAATTGTAAGACTATCTACAACTATCAAACTCTGTAAACAACAGTAATATAGAGGGAAAGGAAAAAAATTAAAAAATAAAGAAGGTATTGTGGTATATATCTCAGCATCCCCCCCAAAGCTCGTGCACTCATAGGGGGCTTTTTGGAGGTGATTGGATCATGGAGGAGTGTATTTGTCAGTGGATTAGTCCACTGATGAGTTTATAGCTAAATGTGATATTGGGAGGTAAAACATGAGGGGAGGAGGTGGTCACTGGGGGCGTGGCCTGGAAGGGTCTATCTCCTTCCCCTTCCCTTGATCCTTCTCTGCTTCCTGCCTACCCTGCCATGGACTGTTTCTCCTCCACCATCCCCCTCTACCATGTCCCCCTGCCTTTGAGCCAGCCAACTACGGACTGAAACCTCTACAAACTGAGCCAAAATAAACTTCTCCTTACAGGTGTGGGTGACAGGTATTGTGTGTCAGCAATGAAAAAGTAACTAAGACAAAAGGGAAAGGAAGTGAGGAAAGTAAGTTGAAATATAAGAAAATACTGGTAGTGTCTGTTTCTATAATGACTATAGTAGTCATTTATGTCTTCATTCTTCCAGGACCTAGTCCATGTTCCTGTGACCTTAGCCTTTTAGATGGCTTTTAACCCACAGGTGACATGGGCTTCATTCACTACCTGGAGATTCTGTGGTCTTCTGTGAACTTTTACATTGAACAGAGTGGCCCTGAGAGGCTCCAGGAATCACCTGGGTTCTTGTGATTGTCTCTGCCTGCACAGCACAGCATAAACTTTATTAACCCTAACTATCATTTACCACATTTCCTTTGGTTTTGTTAAGCAAATGCTTCTCCGTATGTTGTAGGCCCTTCAGTCAGTCTTCAGAGAATAATTTTATATGCTAATTTAAAGCAGTTTAATAAATGTTTCTCTGTGAGAATGGTTTCCCAGTCCCTCAAAGGGTCTATCCTATATGTTAAACAGCATGATATTACTGGAAGGTGTACTGTAATAAATTAAAGAAACACTGTAAACCCCAAAGCAAGCATAAAACTAATGCAAGAGTGAGTTAACAAAGGAGATAAATATTAGATAATAAAAATACTTAATCCCAAAAAGGTGGCAAAAGAACAAAGAATAAAATGGAAGCCCAGCTCTGTTTGCTGGATGTTAAGGATCTAAGCACCCCAATTAAAAGACAAAGACTGTCAGGCTGGATAAAAAAGCTGCCTAGAGGGCCAGGGATTTAGCTCAGTGTTTCTGCCACCTGCCTCGCAAGCCCAAGGTCCTGAGTTCGATCCCCAGTACCAAAAAAAAAAAAAAAAAAAGCTACCTAGAAGAAGTCACTTTAAATATGAAGACAAAATTATGGTTAATGTTAAAAGATGGAAAAAGATATTAATGATATAATAAATATCAGGTGAAGTCAGTTTCATAACAAAGACTTTTGGCCGGGAAAAAGAAAATCATTTTGTGATGACAAAGAGGTCAAGTGGTCCTAGCACACACATCCCTGCCTAATAACAGAACTCCTAAACACAGGAAGGAAAGAAAAGAAAACGGAGAGCTTAAAGGAGACATAGACAAATCCACAAGAACAGATTTTAACTCTGTACTACTTTTCTATTGCGGCCGAAACAGATTAAAGCAGATTTAGTGGCTCAACAGTGAGGTATTCATTACCTTGTAGTTCTTTGTATCAGAAGTCTGGTACAGATCTGGGCAAAAATTAGTGTCCTAAGCTGTTTTCTGTTCTGGAAGTTCTGGGGGGGCTCTTCTTCCTTCCTGCGCCTTGGCTCTTTCATGCCCCCATCATCAAAGCCCAAGGTGTTCCACCTCTCTCCTTTTTCTCTGACCACACCTGGGAAAGATTCTTCTCTTTTAAGGACTCATCCATCTGAATAATCCAGGATGATCTCCCTGTCTCAAGGTCTGCAACCTTAATCACATTGACAAGGTCACTTTGGGTTTTTTGAGACAAGGTAGCCCAGGCTAGCCTTGAACTCGAAGCAATCCTCCTGCCTCAGCCTCTTGAGTGCAGGGATTATAGGTGTGTGCCACCACACCTGGCTGCAAGGCCACTTTTGCCATGTAAATATATTCTCAAATTTCAGACATAGGGTGTGAACATGTTTGGGGGCCATTCTTTGGTGTATGACAACGCCACTTCTCTATAATTAATAGAACAAGCAGAAAGAAAATTACCAGGCATGTAGAAGACTTGAAAAACACTCGGTCATCTCCATCTTCCTGTATTTACAGAGCATTCCACCCCAAACAGCAGAGGGACATATTTTTTAAAAGTGCACATGAATATTTTCCAGGGTGTATGCCACACCCTGGGTCATGAATCAAGTCTTGATAAATTTAAAATAATTTAGATCTTACCAAATATATTCTCTGACCATTCTGAAATTAGACATAAAATCAATGACAGAAAATATCTGGAAAATTCCCATATATTTGGAATTGAACATGTTTCCAAATATTCCCTGGGAAAAAGGAGAAATCATAAAGGAAATTATAAAGTAATTTATAATTATTTTTGTGTTTCCAGTGGAAATCGAAACACAACATACTAAAATGTGTCAGATGTAGCTAATGCACTACTCAGAGGGACCCTCTCGTCACTAAGGGACCTATGTTCATTAGCTTGGAAGGCTCTACTTGGGACTTCAGAGCCTGCATTAATAACCTAGAACAAGGAAAAAGGTGAACTTCAAACATAATAAAGATCGGAGAATAAATCAATGAAAATAAATCAGAAAGTCAACAGTGAAAATGAATAAATCCAAAATACTGAGATTAATATAGTTGATAATCCTCTTACCAGACTGATTAGGGAAAAAATGATAACAGATAATAAATTATCAATATTAGAAAAGAAGGTCACATCACTGTAGAGTCTGCAGATAAATGTAATTCAGCTTGTTTTCAGACTAAATAAAAACAGTGTATGACTCTAAGACTGAGGGCCTTACCAAACGCTCCGAGGAGCTGACTGCAGCGAAGAACACCCGGGAAGGAACACACCGGACAAGTTGGAAAGTAGAACAGACCTTTATGAGTCTGGCCAGACGGCACTCCCAAGCTCCAAGCTTAGAGAGGCAGCTGGCTCAGAGTCCGAGGCTGTTTTTATAAGGGTCTCAGGGGAAGGTGGCAAGCAGAAATACAAAAGCGGAGGGGAGAGATAAAACAGACCTTTTACAGATTGTCCTTCAGATAACATATTCAGATACGGAGTTGGGCAGGCATGACGGAACACGACGCACACAACAGACCTTCCTGGCACAACAAGAAGCACAACCCTGGAACGCGATGTCTGCCTGGTGATCCGTAACAGAAGCAGACAAGTTGGGGCCCTATTACAAAGATGGAGTAACTATTGTTCAGTCTCACAATGACCATTTCAGTACATTTAGAAAATAAACTGTACTGGTTTCCTAGGGCTGCTGTGAAAAAGACACAGACTTGGTGGCTTAAGACAACAGACTTTATTTTCTCACAGTTTTGGAGGCCAAAGTCTGAAATCCAGGTGCTGGCAGGACAGGCTTTCGCCAAAGGCTCCAGAGGAGAGTCGACCCCATGCCTTTCTCTCAGCGGCCTCATGTTACACACACTCCTCAGCATTTCTTGTCTTCTTTTTCTTCCAGAAGACAAAGGTTTAATTGCCAGACATATACAAATACACATTCATACACACACCCACGCAATACTTCAGGGCTTTTCATACCAGTTATTTTAGGGCATAAGCTGAGTACTATCCCTCCACACCCCATCAAAAAAGGAACAACAACCGAAAAAGGAAAAAAAAATCCCAGTTTTAACCCTCTCCGTAATGAAGAAAACTCCCCTCACCCACGTACAAAGTAATTGCACAGCGGCAGCTTCCTGGCGGCCCCACGGAGCACGCTCCCACAGATGTCCCCCATCGGCCACTCCGTTGGGATGGCAACAGGCAGGTATTCGGGATTTTCCCCAGTAGTGGTTATTACAGTCAGCACCACTGTGAGGTTCGTGAATCAGGCTCTGAACAAAAGTGTGAGTTACAGATTTGATAGTCAAACAGAATCATGACTGAGTTTATCTACGACAAAGGGACAATGAGGTGAGACTGAAAACTAAGCCATAGACTGCTTGATGTCCCAATATTCAAACAATAAACCAACCCTCCATTTTCACATAGGCTCAGCTTCATCCCCGAGAAGTGGACAATGCTCCACCCTTGGGAGTAACCAGATTGTTTTCCCCACTCTTTGGCAGGAGATGCATATTCTTGTTGAGTATCTCAGTCTAAACTCTGTGACAACCACAGCCCTGGTTTCTTCCTTTCCAAAATCTTAGTGAGTTTTTTCCTTTTCGGGGTTGCGACTGCTGATGTAGGCAAAGAAAGAACAGTTCAAACTGGCACTCAGCCTTTCCAGGAGCCACATGATCATTTACAAAGCTCTCCCCATCTCTCCCATTCTGCTCTTGCCTTCCTAGCTCTCAAAACATCTCTTAAACTGAAGTTTAAAGAAAAAAACACTATTCCATTCTCAACAAATACTCTAAAATCCATTTGTTATTTGAATGCTCATGGATAGAAACTATTTTTAAAAAGTGTCAAATTCAGGTTCGCGGACCATGTTCATGAGTATCAAAAACCCTATTAGATATAATCTCAGTTTTCATCTTGATTTGCTACCTGTAAGAAAATGCTATTTGAACCAGTTCCATGAAATACTGAATCTGAGAACTAAATTGGGGTAAACGAGTTATTGTGGAAAAAAAATAACTATCAAAAGCTCTTTCTAGAAAATTCAACTACCGTGCTATTCCTCAGGACCAAAAAGATTTCCACTCATCTCCTCACGAAAAGCATTTCTTGTCTTGAGATGCATCTTTCCAACCTCTGCCTGTGTTTTCACATGGGTGTGTGTGTGTGTGTATGTGTGTGTTCAGCTTTTCTCATAATGATTAAGGCTCACCCTGCTTGAGGGTTCCTCATCTTAACTTGGTTACCTTCATGTGAGTAAAGACTCCATTTCCAAATAAGGTCACATTCACACAAAAATTCACATGGAAAATTCGAGTTGAGAGGTAGAACGTTAGCATGTCTATTTGGGGGACAGGATTCAATCTCCAAAGAAAGCATTTAACAGGATTCAACACCTAAGCCTTATAAAAGTTCTAACCAAACTGGGAATAGGGGGTAGCTCCTCAACCTGTTGAAGAGCATCTGCAAACCCTGCACCTAAGTGGATCCTCAGTGATGAGTGCTGAAAGCCCGCCTCTAAGATCAGGAAGGATGCAACAGTGTGTTGCCTCATCACTGCTACTCAGCACTGTATGGAGACTCTAACCCAGGCAACAAGACCAGAAAAAGAAATTAGGGGCACCTAGAGGGGAAAACGAAAAATTAACTCTCTTTGTTTGCAAAGAAAATGCCATTCGTGCACACCCATGTTCATAGCAGCACAACTCACAATAGCTAAATCTTGGAAGCAGCCTGTAAGTCCATCAACAGATGAATGGATAAGGAAAATGTGGTATCTATACACAATGGAGTACTATGCCATAAAGGATAAATTTGAGTCATTTGTAGGAAAATGGATGCATCTTGTTACATGTTAAGTGAAATAAATTAGTCACACAAGCTTAAATCACATGGTTTCTCTTATATGAGAAACCCAAAGTATAAATAAAGTGCAAAATAAAAGATCAACAAGAAAATCCTATGGAATCTACCTAAGAAGTTATAAGAACTAATAATGAGTCTAACAGATTTGTAAAATAAAAATAATCATGCCAAAACAATATTTCTATATAGCATCTAGTACTTGTGTATAGTAGGAATGAAAAATTTGAAATTAAAATATAAAGATGAAATGACTGCAAATAGCCAAAACTTGGAAAAGAACAAGGTTATCTACTTTCAAGACTTCTTATAAATTATAATAATCAACACATTGCAGTATGGAGAAGTAGTAAAGCACAGCAGAGTCCAGAAATAGATTCACATGTATAGAGTCAATTTTTGATAAAGGAACAAAAATTCAACGGAGATAGGATAGTCCTTTCAACAGATGTTGCCACCACAACTGGACATTCATATGCAGAATAGAAGAAAAAAGGTGAAAAATTAACTCAAAAATCTTAAATCCTTATATGCAAAATATAAAACTATAACATTTCTGGATGAAAACAGAAAAAAAGCATTGTGGCATGGACAAAGGTCACTAGAGCATCATTTATAAAAGGCAATTTTTAAAAATTAGGATTCCACAGAATTAAGGACTCATGCTCTTCTAAAGATACTGTTAACACAAAGAAAATCAAGCCAAAGACTTGGGGAAAACATTTGCAAATTATATATTTGTTAAAGGGTTTGCATCTAGAATTTATAGAGTTCTTAAAATTCAGTAAGCAAACAAACAACCCAATTAAAATGGTAAGATGTTTGAACAGAATCTTTATTAAACAAGATATACGGTGACAAGCACATGAAAAGATGCTGAATATTGTTAGCCAAGGTCCAGCACCAGTTGAAGGTCATGCTCAGGTCGTAGACCAATCTGGTCCAGGGATAAGGTTCAGATTCAGGGCTCCATCAAAGATTTAGGACTGGGTCAAGGTTTCAGCTCTAAAATCAAGTCAATGAAACTGGAGACATCTCTAAGGTCCAGGTCTAGTATCTGTGTCCAAATGAAGATCTAGGCTCAGGTTTGGGGTCCAGGTCCTGGGTCCATGAAGAGAGGTTAGAAGCCCAAGTCCAGGCCAGGTCAAGATCTGAGTTTAATGTCAAAGTCAGGGTCCAGGAAGACACCAGGTACAAAGTCAATGTCAGATTTCCAGCCCAGAATCCCAGGTGTATGTCCAAGGAATGCGTTAAGATCTATTTCGAGTTAAAGTCTAAGACTGACGTTAAATTCATGACCAACATCCAAGGATCAAACGCAAGATTCAAGGTTCACTTCCAAAATTCAGGTCCATGTCTGCAGAAGGTCTGTGTTTATCTGACCTCCATATTTAAGGCCAAGGCCAGCATCAGAGCTGAGGTTTGACACCAAGTCCAAGATTAGAACAAAGCCTTGAAAATTAGCCCTGGACCTGTCCTGGATATCTGAGCCGCCAAATCTGAAGATGCCCGGTGGGCTTCCCCTCATCCAAAACCCGCCTTCCTTCATCAATCTCTTTCAAAAAACTTGTTCTCAA